ATGATAGAAAGTCGGAAACACTTGCAACACTTGAAATTAATGGTATGCACGCGATAACTGTCATCTAACTGTTGTGTATCGTTTGCGTCACTGCCACGCTGAGAGAAACGATTTGTTGTTAGACTAATGTTGGGAAAAGAGCGGATCTCATGGGCAGCAATAACAATTTACTTGAAAATAAAAAAAAGTGGGATACTTTCTCTCAGCGTGAACGAAATAATATTGTTATTTTTTGTAGAAGATATATATATATAGCAAAAAGATATAAGAAACAAGAGAGATAAAATGTAAACGTTCACAATTATAATCGAGAATGGATTTTATTTCAATTATTTTGTAAAAGAATTTTTATTATATGCACTGTTTTAGAATATGCTTATATTTAAATTTGAAATTATTGAGATATTTGTACCATTTAATTATTTTGTTCTTTTTAGACACTTGCATTTTCTAATTTTTTGCTTTTCCTCTTTCTATCACCTATCTTATATATAATATATTAGTGCTAGTATATTGATTTTTCTTTTTTATCTTTTTAAAAATTGATCTTTTTACTTTTAAATTTTATACTTACTTATGCGCGCGCGCGCACGTGCTTTAATCATGACAAATATTACATAAAAAAACAATATTACATTAAGGATATGTGTATAAATATATATTCATCATTATGTATTGCAGTAGTGACAGGCCTAACATTATTCACACGACTTTATTCGCTAAACCAGAAAAAAGTTTCTGGACTCGAGATATCTATAAATTAAATAATTATTACGAAAAATCTAAGATAAGTTCTAATGCTGTTCGAACAATAATATTGATATTAATATTTACATATACGTATAGCTCCAGTAATAACTTATGACAATAAATAATGGAAACGGGGTGAGCCGATGCTAAGAATAGATGCAAATTAGACTTTACTTGGAAAATTCAATAATAATAATAATAATATAGACCGAAAACGATCATTGTTGTTGCGGGATCGTTGCTTACGTTGAATAAATTAACTTAATTTTCGGCACACCCTGTATCACTTTATAACAATTAGCTCTATGCTTCTTCGAGTGCTCCACAGAATATAGAAAATAGAAATGGGAGACATAATACAGAATGTGATGAAAATATAACGAATCATCCAAGAATGTACTGTATTGCATTAAAATATTTCCATATATTTTTGTGAAGAATGTACTGGCCATTTTGTCGTTTCACGAAGAATATACAAAAAATATATAAATATTGTATAATTAAGACAAAATAGATAGTACCATACCATAGACGTCATAATAGTTATTATCAAATCTTATAGCGCAGATGTTCGTGAAACAATTAAAATGATACATTCTGAGTTGCAAAGATATAGATACCGTAAATTTGATATCATATCTTTCTTCGATTCGGAATGATAAGGATAATGTGTGACTATGCAATTAATAGAATTCCTCATTTTGAAAAGGAGATTAGATTCCTTGAACAATTTTTAGTATATTTTTTGGGATGAATATAAGTCATACAATATAAAAAAATAACTATATTTAATATTTCATTATCATTTATACTTACCATTATGCAATTATAATTTGTGAAATTTTTGTTAATAAATCAAATTAAGTACAAAGTTTTGTAATTGAAACTTTAAATAATTATAAAAAGAAGATACATTATATTTATCAGTCTGGAGGAGGGCACAAGCACATTCAACAGTTTACGGTAACCATCTTTATGCTCTCACACACGCACGCACTCACCCACACACACACACCAAAATATATCCCCACATGTATGTATATATCTAACACAATATGTACAATGCTGTATACACACTGGCATTCATAGTTCGTCGCTATTTGTACATCCTCTGGAAAGTAATTAAATAATATTAATTTATATATTTCGATTAAACCTCTTTACAAAAATGTATCAATTATTATATTGACAATAACAACAATGGTTCATAAAAGAATGAAAGTAAAGTATATTGTAAGTACAATAAATAAGCAAAATTTTAGACATATACATATATGTATATATATGTATATGCATACATAATATAAATATATGTACACATATATATATATATATATATGTATAGTGTAAACGATGAGAAATTCTCAAGAAATTTATACATTACAATAATTGAGAATATTAATAATTATATATTTATTTATTTATTTAAATGTAACTATACATATAGTTAATTAAATTTTGATATTCATTTCATATATGGTTAAGAAAGAAAAGAAGAGACGTCCATAAATATTCCATACTAAATATTCTGATGCTTAATGTTTATTGAATGTTTTATGATAACGAGAATTTCACATCGAAAAAAGAAAATATTAATCAATATAAGAGTGTTATATATTAAACTTTTGATGACTTGATATAATAAGTATCAAGTGTAAATTAGTAAATTCTCTTTCTCATTGTTAATACTTTTCTTTGTGCGACTAAAAATTTATAATTTAATTATTTTATGTGCTCCAAGTGATAATCCGAGGAGACTGTTATTCTCTATTATGCGTAATATTTTATTATTCAAAAAAATAATTTTAACATGCTGTTAAAAGATGATTACATTGTCATACAATTACTATAAAATTGAACGAAATGAATTATATTATGAATATAGCTTTGTGTATTTATATATATATATTTTCCGTTCAATTGTCATGACACCCATGATCTCCAATGCATTTTAAGCGCTAACGTTAAGTATTGTATTACAGAGGATTTGACAATGACGTTTTACTTTCGTAAAGTATTTAATATTGTAAAACAAAATTATGTTTTTTGTAAATTAACTTATTTTTTATATTAATTGTTGTTTTTCAGTATGTCTCGCTGGTTGAGAAATACTGCGTTGAAACTTGGCAGATAATACAATGTTAGTTATATATATATATAATATATATATATATATATACATATATACAAATTTGTTAAGAATGTTACAGTTAGGATTACGTATAAATCAAAAGAATCCGCTCTCCCGTGTTGTGCAAATAAATACGAGTTTGGCATTAGTAATAGCGCGATCATAATTCACGTCTTCGTGTTCAGAATATTTCAGAATATTTTCTCCGATACAGATCTTTATAAATATCAATTAAAGTTAATAGAAATTTAATCAATTCTCTCCTTTTCTAATTCTAATTTTAGAAAAAAGCTGACAGAATTGATTAAATATCAATTAATTTTAACTAATATGTATAAAAATGGTATACATAACAAAGCTAGATGTTTAAAGAGATAAAACTGTAAAAAAACACCGCAATTTGTTTCTTATTGTGAATCAGAAAAAAAGAGATTAATTAATTTTATTTAAAAATAAAATTGACTCCATCATTGATAACATCTATCGTTCTATTGTTATAATCTCGTTCCTTTTACGGAAATAATTATGTGTTTTAGGAATATTTTCTAATAATATATATATATATATATCTTCAAAGCGGAATGATATGTCTGTGAGTGACGCGAATACAAAAAAAAATATATTTTAATTGTTTGGTTAGTAAATCTCTATTCCATACCATATACGTAGTTGCATATTAGAAATTATTATTATTACACGCCGACGCAATCTGATTTGTTACTAATTATTGCGACGCTAATTATCATGTAAAATATATATGTATTAACATTGTAATTTTCAGTGTAATATGTAATTAAAAAACGAGAGATAGTCTGGCGGCTATTGATAATAAATCGTAAGCCAATCTTTACAAAACTCGTTCCTCCTGCTTCATTGAGTAGAGTTCATGCTAGAAAAACATAAATAATAAATGCACAACGATTATTGTAAAATTTGTAATTTATTTCATATTTCTCAATACGTAGCGTCTCTCGAGAAGAATGATCGGTATAAAACTACGTGTATTTAAGAATGCAGAATAAGGACGTTGTGGGCAAAAACTGACATCTTTGTTGAAACAAATCTTATTGATAAATTATTTATCCTTGCTTATTCTTGGAATAACTATTAAGCGTGGCACGATCATTCTCATTTGCATTTGCTGCTATCATAGAAATTACTTGTCACCTGTTGCGTTGTTATATTTACATATCATATACATACCGGTACATGTGCATAATAATAGCACCATCGACATTTCTATAAAAAAAAAACGATCGTACAATTGCTTGCAATAATTTTCTTTCTATCATATATATATATACATTTACCTTGAGGCGTTATGCCCACGTGTAGATTAGCAAACGTAGTTTAATAAGAACAATTCTCTGCAAGGAGATCTCTTGCAAATTTTCATAACCATATTAATTCACGCACACGATGACCGTTAAATTAACTAACGCTTTTAAATGATTTCTCGAATTGCATAAAGCATTGTTTATGGTAACGTATCATTTAGTTATGCAGAAAGCATTTCCGTGAGACATATATACACATGAGAATTAACTCTCTAATCGCAGTGTTTCATGGGATTATGGGATTAAACTTATTACGCGCGCGTGGAAAGATACGTTTATAATTTCCTAATATAAATGTAAACATAAACATTTAAAACAGTGAAGATTATATAAACGACATTTCTAATAAGACTGTATCTTTTAAAATCAAAACAATCAAATTTTGTAAAATATTTTTTGTATAATAAAATAATTTTCTTTTTTTAAAAAGTATAATTTTTCGATTTTAAACAAAAATATATAAAAGAAATAATAAGTGGGTAAGGTTAAAGTAGAAAATTCGAGTAAATAAATAAAAAGATCAAATCAACTATACATCTTAATTCATGAGTTGTTATTATTATAATACTTTCGAATTAAATAAATTGCTTATAACATTTATATATCACAATATTACGTAAATTTCAAAAAACTTATGGACGTACAAGGGCACGCTTACGTAGTAGCTAAAAAAAAAAAGCGTCATGTCGCACGCGTATATGAGAGTATATGAGAGCGAAGCGGGAGAGTAACGACTACGAAGAAGCGTAAACGCCACCAAAGGTATAACACTCTTCGTTACTTTCTAAATTCCCCCTCGCAAGCGGTATATATCCCCCGATGACTTTGCGTTTTGCAATCGTACGCACTGCGACGGGAATCACATCCGAGTCGATTTTTCGCGCGCCGCATAAGTCTGGATGTTATATCACAAACCACGGGATCACCGCGGGAGATGGCGGTCAGTGTCGTGAGATACCTCGCTCTCCTTATGTTCTGCGCCCTGCTACAGTACCGTAAGTACTGAGATTCGACATCGACCGCTGTCGATTTCTACCTTCTAACGATAGCCTTCTTCTTTTCCTTCTTTCCTCCTAAAAACATTTCATTCGAGGCACTTCGCGAGTGCGCGTTGTCGTTCGCCGGCAGGTTTGCCATTCGAACTGCAAGAAACAAATCTGGCAGATCAAATCTGTCATCTTAAGATTAAAGTTTCTTTCGCTTCGTTTCGATTGTATACCCCTTTTTGCTCGTACATTTCTACAAAATCAACATCCACACGTGGTAAGTTTAAAAAAAAATACTAAAGCGTTTTTTTTAATTTTAATACGATATTGTTTCTTTTATCTTATTTTAATTAAATGAAGGATAACATATTTTTGGTCTTTATTATCAAAAAGAACTTTATCTCGTCGCTCTTTAAACGTTTTATCCATGCTTAACTCCAACTTCTTTTTTTGTACTCTTGTTTTTTTCTTCTTATTTATAATTTATATATTACGTCTTCATTTATAGAAATTATACAAATTTTATATTTGGTATTTACACATATTTTTATTTTGATTTGAATTTGTTATTAATTGAATTAATTTTTTAATAACTTGTAAATTTAAAGGATATAAATTTAAACGATATATTACTCGACACACACACACACACACACACTTTCTCTCGTCTTGTTGTGAGATTTTAAAGAAATGAAAGTATATATACATATAATATTGCAGAGTTCCGCTTTTATAATCCAATTTTCTTCGAATGAAACTATAATATCAGTTTATAATAATAAATTTTATTATTATAATAATAATCTTTATTTTAATCTTTAATATAGATAATCTTTATATTTTCATTGAAGTATTTTTGAGTAATTTGCGATTACAGCTAGTCTACAAATCGAATAGACTTGTTCGTTGAATTATCTTACCGTAAAATATTATCACGTATATCAATTATGTTTTGTTCCGTGATAATTACACAAATCTAAAGCGTAATTTTTATCTCATAAATAATTACGTTGGTACATACTTGTTCGAGTTGGCAGAAACAAAGGTTGTTAAGCAAGGATGAAGAGAAGCGTGAGCAATACGTCACCTTGTATCTCCTTGTATACAACATATTATAATTTATTTATAGCATCAACGATAAACTAACAAGAAACTCATCGACCTTCACCCAATTTCGTATAACGGTCCGATAACCTATAACATACGAGACACCTAATCGTACCTAATCGTTACACGGCTGATCGACTAACTGACAGCTAACGTAAGCGCGATACACTAGAATCGTTCGTTCATTATTATCTGAAAGTAAAAGTAAAACAAACGAATCAATTTCATTATATTTTCAGACTATGCAACGGCTCAAAACAAAACTCTTAGGGACCTTTTTAACAGCACATCCTGCGCCAAGCCGCCTTACACCTGTCCGCATCCGCAGATAGAATTCTATCTGTACACTAGGTGTGTCTCCTATCATTTTTTTTTCAATTTTCAAACATTTTCACGTTTAATTACATTGTTTTAATAATAATACAACATTTTCAACATTTAATGCCTATATTAATAATTTTCTATTGATTAACGTTTCGTGTCAATTGCTTTCATTCCGAAAAGTGGATTGTTAAAAGGAAGCAATCAACATTGCAACTTTCAATTTCAAGATCACGATCATTTTATCTCGTATTGAAAGTGACCTCCTTTCGAGACTTACCTTTCTCCGGTGTCTATAGTATCGTCGAATGCTCTCACTATGTTGACTCTATACTATGTTGACGTAGCGGACGTGACAAGTGTCGACGAAAAGTCGCTATATCTTCTGTTTATGTATATGTCGTGATTTTCAGAGAAACACAAAAAGACCCTTTGCTATTAGATATCCGTGATTTTAATTCTCTTTGGAATTCCAAGTTTGATAAAACGCATCCGACGAAGATCATCATTCATGGTTTTGGCGGTGGACGAAACTTAGCACCTAGTACAGATTTACGAGATGGTAAGATTAACAGTCTCTTACTTTTTTCTATACTTGAATTATGTGTTAAGTATGCTACATCTCAAATTCGTGAGTGTGTATATGTATAACAAAAAAAAGTTTGATTTACTACCATATCGTAATATCAAAAAGATCTCATTTAATTAAACGTTAAAATTTGTTTAAAAAAATTAAAGTTAATCTCTCTCTCTCTCTCTCTCTCTTATACAAATATAAATTTACATATATACTTGCATAAATTATATGAAAATAATAACCAAAATAATTACAATAATCTACAAATACAAGTTAAGAAACAATGTTCGATGGGCTTACATATAATAGAAAAAGAAAATTAAGAAAGATTAGAAACGTTTAAGAGAATAGCCATATCACCACGTTCGATTTCAGCGTATTTCACGCGAGGCGATTATAATATTATAATCGTGGATTACGGTTCGTTGGTACGCGAGCCCTGTCTCTCGCAGATCTCCTGGGGTCCGGATTTCTGCTCCCAATGCATCGCTCAACTGGTGAAATACTTGAAAAATCATCCACGAGGCACGAGGGCAGAGAACATACACGTGCTCGGATACAGCGTGGGTGCGCATATCGGTGGACTCATTGCAAATTATTTGCCCAATGACAAACTCGGGAGAATTACGGGTAATTGCTTGTATGCAGCCGATCGTCGTTCCGCAATTTAACCAGACGTAACACAACTCTTTCATTATATTACTCAATACTATGTTATATAAATTTAATTAACTATTGCGATCATTTCTCTTATTATTGTGTGTTTATCCGATAAATTGTTCTTCTCTTATTTCTACGATACATTCTTGAAAATATCGTACAGTAAACAGAGAATAAAAATTGTAAAAATCGGAAAAAAACGTGCTTTTCAAATTACAAAAAATTCTTTATCTTCTCTAGCAAAGTAAAAAAAATTTATTAAAAGAATACTTTTTACGATGTTACGTCTCGAGGGTTAATAATTCGTATAATCGAGCATTGCATTAATCGAGTAATTTACATTTTTCCTGTTGGTACGCAACACGCAGGCCTCGATCCGACGATATTTTTCTATATGAATGGCAATCGCTCGATGGATTTAGACGAAACGGATGCCCATTTTGTAGATGTGATTCATACAGGCGCTGGCATTTTGGGGCAATGGGGACCCAATGGACACGCGGATTTCTACGTAAACGGTGGCTCGAGTCAGCCCGGATGCGCCACTTCTTCTATACTCCGTAAGTACCTATGTAATCTTCAATATGTGGAAATTGACAAAATGAAATATTAAGAAAATTGCAGCTAAAGATATATATTATTGCTTTCAACTCAATCCCAATTAGAAAAAAAAAAAGATTTACAATTTATCTATCCAAGTGAGTTGATAGAGATTCTTTCTTCTGGTGGCAAACTGAAAATTTCCTCCGTAGAAACGCTCTCGTGCGATCATACAAAAGTGACACCGTATTACATAGAATCGATCACGACGAAAAAGGGATTTTGGGCAGCTCCTTGCGCAAATCTATTCTCTTACCTAATCGGATGGTGCAATCCCAAGAAAGACGAATACATCCTGATGGGGGAGGATTCGCCTCATACGTAAATAAATTCAATATAGTAGAGATTTCGCTACGAAATTGCATGTTATATGAATAGAAATGTTTGATGAATAGAAATTTAATTAAAAAAAAAAAAACGCGTTGAAATATCAAAAATATACGTGTAACATTTATCAACGTTGAAGATAATATTAATGCGAATATGTTACAAATTAACAGAGCACGCGGCATCTTTTATCTGTCAACAAACGCACACAAACCGTACGCCCGAGGACTGCCCGTAAAAAACCAGCGTCGGACAAATCGGAAGCAATCGTCCTCCCGCCAGTATTAAGCCTATTGAAACAACTGATCAACATAATTATAGAATAACGTGTGTATATGAGAGAATCAAATAGTTTTAAACTACTATATATTATCGCTAAAAGACTTTTGTTTTTTATATCGTTGCCGTTTACAACTTTGTACATTTTAATCTCGTTATCTCGTCCATTTTCTTATTCTTCTGCTTCTTTTTCGATAAAACATTTTGTCATAGGTTGACGATCATTGTGAAGAGTAGAAATTTAATAGAAATTACATATAATATATATATATATATCCCTCGTATCGTTTATTAATATTTGATCGACGACCAATTAACTGGTGTAAGTCTCGCGTGCTTAACATGTAACACTTTCACTCCCGCTCTTGTCGCAAATTTTATACATATTTATTTAAAACCACATGTTTACAAAACGTAGTTCTCCGATTTATTCATCTTATTTTTTTTAATTACTCGATTATATTCTAATTTAATTCAATTTGTGTCAATAAAAAGCGTAAAACGAGGTTGAGTTGCATAAATATAATGTATGCAAATCTTTACGCAACAAATTTATTTTAAAAGTGCACAAATTTTTCGAGAATTTATGTATCTCATTAAAAAATGTAAAAAACAATTGTGATTATAATATCTCATTAAAATTTATAAGTATCATTTCATAACGTGTTATTTCATAGTAATATATATTTCGCAAGATATATGATTAATTTATATACTTGATACTGTTCTATAGTCAAAATCTTGTTTTATTCCTTCGGTGTAAAGTTACTCTGTGTGTCAGTGCAGTTGAATCAGTTTAAGATTATTGTGTGTATAATGCATTATTATTAATATTAAGTATATATATATATACATTAATTAATTTTTCTAATCTATAATGTAGTTAATTTGAACCTATTGTTCAAAAACAAAAAATTAATTTTTATCTTGTAAAGATGAGAAATTTTTAATACAAACATTTATATGATGTTTGTGTTTTATTTAATCCACCGACCTTCATTCACCTGTCATCGTCCTGTTTTAATAAATTTCCTCATATAGGTGCATTTGCAACAACATCATCAGGGTCATTTATGTTAACAACAATATTTATTACATAATAATTATTACGGTATAGTAATAACTTCTATGGATTTACAATATACTGCCGCACTAAATCTTAATAGTATGTATAATATGCAATGGAATGATTACAAGTTGATACATTTTCGTTTCAAAGAATCGAAAATTTCAAGTCAAAGATTTCTCCGCCTTGATTTTTCTTTTTTCTCTTTTCTCTTTTCTCTTTTTTTGCTGAAGGTGGAACCTTCGCGAGTTATTATATATATATTCTCTAAAGATATGATCTCTCCACGAACACGATGCTCGCGAAGGTCTCCGCTCAATCTCCGCACGCAAGTACACCTACAAGTGTACATAGACAAAGATGTGCATCCGGATTTTTTCAATATCATCGACCTCAATCTCGATATTCGACGAGTCGAGCGACGTCGGTCGAGCATCGTCTCGAAGATTTCATGTTCAGTGATTTCATGTTCAGTGAGTTCATATGAGTACAAATAAAGTATATCATACGGTGAAAAACGCGATAATATAAACTGTAAAAGTGGACAGTATTAATCTCCCTCGAAATTTAATCTCGATGCAAGAATCTTTTTCACAGATGACAACTATAATCAATTACAGTGTAATAAATAACGCAATATACCAATTATTCGATAATTCAATAACTTGAAAAGAAAATGATCGAACATATCCGTATCCTGTTGAGAAATAATTGATGAATATTTATAAGAAAAGAATTCTAAACATATTAACGTTATAATCTTTATTATTAAATAAATCAGGATTTGACAAACACGTCCGATTAGTCTCTTTTTTAAAACCTTGTTGCTTATTCAACTGATGACTTTGACATTTTGGTTTAATGTCAATAAAATTATACATTGCTGCGTCATCTTCGATATTTTTGTAGCTAACAGCAAGAGAAAGTAGTTTTATCTCGTGATATTATGTCACAAGACCAGATCATACTATCGAATCGTATAGTCGTTCGACGTGTGGAATGAAATTTATAGAGGTAAAAAGAAACACACATCATCTCTTTCGCCAATAATCTCGCCAATTGCATCTCGAGGTCGTTATATATATATCCAGACTAACAACTATATAGTTTTACAAATACTCTTTTCGCGTCGTGTTCCGCTTTTATTTACATCCTTTTGTAATCGTATTTCGTGCGTGCTACGTGCTGTTGCCCGATAATCGGCATATATGTGCATGAACGAATTTAACGCTAATATATTGATTATTTAAACGGAAATTATTTATCCGTTTTTCTCTCCTTCTTTTCACTCGTAATTCGCTCGTACATTCGAAACATTCGCAGGATCGCAAAATGGAAATCTTATATTTCGTGATACAGAGAGTCTTCTTGACTCAGAGAAGTCAGCGCTCAACGAGCACTGTACTTTTGCCAGTAGTAAACTATCACTAATTTGCACAGGGTCCAATCATCGATATATACTTTTCTTTCTCTTGCGAGTGTTTATATAATTTTTATCGATTATCATTATATTACTTCCAATATATTTTTTCTGCTATTACAGTCGTGCACGTTCTTTCCTTTCTTTCTACGAGCCTGCTGGAATGGATCGATTTACCGATCGTGATTTACCGATAAAACCACCGCGTGTTTCGCCCAACTTGAATCATCCTGAAATCAGCACGTACGATCTATAACTATCACGCTACACAGTGCACGTTGTTTACCTCGTATTACTTCACCACGTTATACTTTTTACCTCTAGTTAAATAAGTTACTCGTAAATGGTAATAATCGTTATCAATGACGATGTCAATACAATGAGTGACATTGTATTGACGTCATATAGGACGTACGTGGTTCTCTCTTTATATCAAATCCATTTTCTTTCGACTGCACCTTTTACGCTTATTTTTTTCTCTGTCTTTCTCTGTCTTTCTCTTAGCGACGTATCTATTTTTTTTTCTTTAATTATAAAAAAGTACAGTCGAATAGAAAATAGATTTATTTTTAGCTAAATTTTTAACTCGCGAGCAATGGCGTCGACTGGGTCGCTGTCAATCGGCGACGGAAATCGTTTCGTAAGCGATGCAATTACTTCGAAAGTAACGGAAGGGCATTAAACTGTTACATATTTGTCCGATAATAATAATAAAATTGCAACGAATTAATGTTAACCCGCTTTGAAAATTTCGATACAATAAAACGGCTCGTTGTGTACGGCTTCTTATGTCGTCTCACATTCATAGAAATAGATAAGCATTGCTTTCCTTTGAAAAATATTAATTAAAACAAATTAGATTATACACTTAATTTATTTGAAACAAAATCTATTAATATCTATAATTTAGAAATCATTTAAACAATACTTTTAATTTCTTTATCACACGTCTATACTTTAATAGTCTCTATTCTATAATAATAAGCCATTTTACAATAAATGAGATAAATCAATATCGCAATTATTTCTTCATCGACGTCATTCTCGCGTAGTTTTTCAACAATATATAATCCATAAATTCTCATTAAAGTATTCTAAATACAATGCTGCTGCGTAATAACGTGCCTTTCACACATGCTATATACCGATACGATTATCGTTTACAATAATTGGTCCTGAATAAACGATAGAACCAAATCCGGTAATACGATATTGGTGTATCGTACGAAGGTGAGGGATTTACAATCGCATGGATCGCAACTTTGTAGTTGTGTACGTTGTTGTCGTACGAAAATCGATCGACGAGTCACGATTTGTGATCATAAGATGAAAACTCTGAGAATTGAAAATTTCTTCTAAGGCCTGCGACACGTTAGAAGAGAATAAAAGACGCCTTTACATATTGTTACTCTAACACTCTAACGTAACCGCTCGATGATAAGATTTACGGTTTCTTAAATTTGCGCGCGTGATAAATACTACTGCGTTGTCGTTTCTGATGATTTCCAGTGAGAAAATGACTCATCGAATTGATATCGAATTGACTTTGATTTTATACGATAATTTCAAATTCGATTTGACATCGATTCAATCTAAATGACATTCATTTCTCGCTGGATTGCAGGTCTCCGATCGATTTGTTCCTTCGGAGAAGACTTCTGACGATTATCTTCCAATTCACGATTTTCATGGAATTTGATTTGTTCGAGTGACGATATCAGCGAGTGTCTCATTCCGTACGTGAAATTACAATTCTTTTTTTCTCAATCTTCCACTCCAAATTGACATCAGCCTAACAATAAGAACAAGACATATATGGATTCTACAATTGTCATAAATATATATGCAATAGATATATTGCAAAATATATACAATCTGTATTTGTTAAATTGATTAAATTTTCATCATTAAGAATTAAAGAGAGAGAAAAGTTTTTAAAATTATTCATTAAAATTGAAAATGTATGTAGAAAATGTATGTTTGAAAATTCAACATTGATTGTACGAATAGAAAAAAATACCTTCAAACAATATCTGATTGAATAAAAAAAAAAAAATTCTTAAAATATGTTCAATATATCTTCAAATCTCAATGTTACACTTTTGTCATTTTTCGGAAGTGGATAACGTTGTTGACATGCTCGAATTTACGTAACATAGTTCTCATTAATTGGAAAAGATATACTGGTTGATACAACAGATTAGCATTAGAATCATCGGGAGACATAAGAAAAAGATCGAGAACATCTTCAGCACCGTATTCCTCCATCCATTCTCCGCAAAAGAGAATTTTATTTTACTATAAATTACTTTAATCTTTATGTTGTAACGATAATAGATGTATAACGCGTAATTATAATCTTATATACACTGAGTAAACGCTACGATACAAAGCTAAAATCAATAAATGTTCGCCAAATAGTCCATTCTCGCTGTCCTCGGTTATCATTAATATTATTGTGATTATTATTATTTATCGTTAATTATTATTATATATTATTAAGAGCCACGATGTGTATATGTGTGTATATATATATGCGGATGTGTGTGTGTGTGTGTGTGTGTGTGTGTGTGCGTGTGTGCGTGTGTGCGTGTGTGTTGTAAGGAGCGTCCATAGCCTTATACTTAGAATGAGCATGTCCTCTTATGTGCTGTCATATACATGTTTGATAAAATCAATATTTGCTCAATAATGTTGTTTTTCTTAATAAATAATTTACAATAAAATTTATATATTTGTAAATATACTTTTAAAGTTTTAAGGGAATAAATGTAATATATATATGTATAAATGAAAAAAAAATTAAGTTCTATACAAATTGAAAGAAAGAATCCTTAATGTCTAGGATTTTTGATCATCCTAAGTATGTTATGAAATGGACGCTACTGGATGCTTTTTTTTATATCATCACTATAACTCGATAACGCATATATATAACTTCTCTCTTAGTTTATCAAAACTTAAATTGCACCAGCAATTAACATATAATTAAAAGAAGCGATGATCAATCAACAAACTTATAATTTATGAAAAGATTCATAATTAACATATATTTACAAAATCATATGTA